TCCCTTGCAAATCCCTTCAGTTTTAAGAAGACCCCCTCCCCCCCGTCCCCGTCCCCGCTCTTAAATACAGACATGTAGTCAGAATATCCCGCTGGAGATAGCTCCAAAGTTTAAACGCGCTCCTAGGAAAAGCCGGCCCAGGCTTTCGGCAGGGCTCCCCGAGGCGGCAGGCTCCCGGCGTCCGCAGGTTTCTGCAATCCCCGGCTCGCTCTCCCCTGCCAAATCCTCCTCGCCGGTCCGGGGGCTCCGTCGGGGCGCAGCGCTGCCTCTCGCTATTTGGTCGGGCAAGAGGGCGAATGGCAGATCAGCAGTTTCAGAAGAAAGTGTGGGGTTGATTATTGACTAAAAAGACTTTTTTTTTTTTTCTTCCGATGCAACATTCAAGGGATTGTTTGAAGCAAAACGCATACGCGGGATTTTTGCCTCTCCTCTCCTCCTACGCTGCCCGCTTCCCCTTTCATGTGGTGCCTTCTCACTTATGCCATAAGGAGCAAGTGTTTTCTGTTTTAGTGCTCTGTTTACAGCTTTGGTGCATGAAGTCATAAATCTTGCATAGCCATAAATGACAAAAACCATTGGTATGCGTAAGAGGCCACCCCAGCCTTATAGTGCTTTTTATTTCTCGCTTCCCCCCTCGCTTTGTTTGTGCTTTAAGATGACGCCGGGTTCCCTCGTGCTTTAAACGGGCTAGTTATATTTTTAATGCCTTAATTAACGAAGTAACGTCAAATTTGCACCTAGGCATTATTCGGAGCCCACAGTCCGACTACCGTCTGCCGGAGGGACGGGGGCTGCAACTTTCTTTAAGTTCTCGTTTGCACGGTCGCTGCCGTATTTCTGGTGCAGGGAAAAGGGGGGACCCCACCACCCCCAAACCCCGGGGCGCTGGAAGAAAGAGGCGAGCGCCTGCCCGAGCACTGCCGAGGAGCGGGAGGCGAAGGCGAGCTGTGCGGCGCCGGGCCCGCGTCCACGCGGGGCTGCCGCCCACGCGTCCCCACGGGGGGTTGCGGGCACCCCGACCCGCCTGTGCAGCACATGTGTGTGTGAGCGGCTCTGTGCTCGTCCCGGGCGCTGGGAATATTTGGGGGGGTGGGGGGGTGTCTGTGTGTACATCTGTGTGTGTGTGCGCGCTCACGCATGCATGAGTTAATAATTAGTAACTCTAATGATTTCCAGTGTGGCTCTGAAAGCATTGCCCAGAGCGGGGATCCTGGTGGGCTTCGGTTGGCTCTCCGGACCCAGCTCCGGCTCGCCGGGCTTTGCTCCCCTCCCCGGGACTCAGCCGGGGCTTTGCTGGGCTCCCGGCGGCGGGGAGCGGCAGAGGGGCTATTCCGCAGCCGCCCCCCAAAGCCCACCGGTAAGATGGAACAAACCTAAGCGTGTCCCCCCCCCCCCCCCGCCCCCCCCCCAGCAGCACCCCCGGAGGCTGGTGAGAGCGACTCTTTGTGAGCGCCGTTTGTCTTCATTAGCATAATTTTCCTGGACTTTGGTGACGCTCGGGTGCGGGGGGGGCCGCACTCCTTCACTGCCGCGCTCCTCCGCTCCCTCCCCAGCCCCCACCCTGCCCCAGGCTTCCCCAGGCGGCCGCCTTTCTTTCTTCCTTCCTTCCTTTTTTTTTTTTTTCTTTTTCCTTCTTGTTTTTTTTTTTTTTTCTTTCTTTCTTTTTTTTTTTTTTTTTTTTCCCCCTCCACTCCCCCTCACCCCCCTTTCTCCTTTCCTCTCTCTCCTTCCCTTCCCAGAGCAGCCCTGGGAAACATCCCCGTCCTCCGTGCCCCGCGCAGGGGGAGCCCGGCACGCCGGGGACAGGCTCGGGGCAGGGTGGGCAGCCTGAAGCGGGAGGGGAGCGAGGGAGGCGGGTGTCCGGAGCTACCGACCCCATCCCGTGCGGGGCAGGGCTCGCCCCTCCCGGCCGGGGGGTGCCGAGTGCGGAGGAGCTGAGCCGGTGCCCACCCCGCGGCCGCAGGGACCGGGCTGGGACAGGCAACCCCTGCTCCCTGGGTTGTGTCGCCTCCAAAAAAAAAAAAAAAAAAAAAAAAAAGAGAGAGAGAGAGCGAGAGAGCGAGAGAGCGAGCATGCTGGCTTCCGCCTCAATCGTCAGAAGTTAAGGTAAGCAGGCCACAAATACGCTGCTATCAGTCGTGAATGGCGGAGTTTATGTCCCAGTGATTTATGACCGTAGACTTAAATGTCGGTTCAAGAAGAGTTCACAAGCTGGGGCTTCCTTCCAGGCAGTGACTGATACCCTTACACTTCGTGTTCAGGCAGCTCTCTCTTCTCTTTTCCCCCCCCTACCCCCCTACCTTCTCTCAACTTTGTCTTTATCTTTCAGGAAATCTTTCAGGGGGGCTGCCTGCTTTTTCGTCCTAGAGTCAGACTTTGGAGCTCGGCTGAGAGTTACAGGGCAAAGATCTGATGTGCTTGGGAAGGGGGGGGGGGGCGCGGAGGGAAGGAGAGGGTAGAGGAGAGCTGAAGTGGGGAGTGGGGAAACGAGGGGGGGACTTGCCTCCCCCAAACAGCTTTCATCTGTTGTCTCCGGGCTGTCTGGGTGGGGGGAGAGAAGTTGGTAAAGGGCATAGAGGTGTATTGCACAAATGGAGATGGAGCCGATTAAATGGTCACTGGAAATATTGGGGGCCCATCCGTGTTTGCGAGACCTGGCCTTTTGTCTCCGAGGGAGAGAGGAAAGCTGCTCGCATCCCAAGCACCGGCTGGGGTGGCGAACTTCCCCCCCCCGCCCCCCCCGCCCCGTTGGGGAGCTGGTATTATCCTGATCGTTCTCGCTCTTAATCCCGCTATTCCCGTTTTCGCCAGGAATGGCCGGGCGCTCCTCAGGTTACCCCCGCTTCTCTATAACTTTGTAGGAAGTGATTAACTTGGCGAAGCCAAAGGCGGGAGCTGATTTTTTTTTTTTTTTTTTTTTTTTTTCCCCTTTTCCTTGCTGGCAGGCGGCCGAAGCCTCAATAATATTTTGCCTTCCGAGTGAAGTTACCTATTGTGTGCGGGCGGGCGGCTGCGGGAGCCGCGCCGCGCATCCCCACTCAGCGCGGCTCGTCCCGCCCGCTCCAGCAAACTTCCAGGCGGCCGGGGGCAGGCGAAATATTTGATGTCGCGATCATGAAAGCCGGGTGCCTTTGTAAAATCCCCGCTGGCTCATTATCTCCTCTTTCTCCTCTGGTAGTGGTGTCTATATTCTCTCTTCCAAAGGAATTGAGAAAAATCACACCAGGCCTCGATAGCATCAGGAAGGAGAGGCGAGGAGCTGGAAATTGTGTGCGCGCCTCAGATCTCCATCGGCTTATTAGCTTAATAACATCCAAAGAGCTTGATTAGTGCAATAACAGGGTAGCCGCCCTCCTGTAGGTGTGTTACCTTCATTTCGTTACGATCTAACAAAGGGAATACTGTTTTCTAAGAACTTGTATAACTTGAAAGGCATAGAATGAGCTCGTTTGGTGCATGTGTTGTGTAAGGCTTTTCGCCCCTAAGCATTTGTCCTCGTTAGATGTTTGGGGAGGGGGGGGGAAATATCCAGCTGCTTAAGTACAGGGAAGGTGGCAAAAGAAACGAGAGCTCTTCTGATCCAGGAAGACGTGGTTGTTTGTCAGCAAGGGGTTAGGGGGACGGTGAGGAATACACTTTAATTCCTGAGAACAATGTGAGTGCGTGTGGAAAGAGCTCCTAGCTCGGAGACTACGCACAGGTCTCCTCTCTCATTAATGCGGGCGATTCTTTGGTTATTTTCAGGCAGGTGACCAGTAGGCTTTAATCTGGGAAAAAAAAAAAATCCCAGAAAGAAAGAAGGACAGAGGACAAAAAGAAGGGGCGGAGGGGGTAGAAAGGGATTCGCCCGGGCAGGAGAAGCATTCTCTGGGTTTGTGTCCACCCTCTCCCCAGCCAAGTGACCCTCATACATCAAATTACATAGCAGTTTCCAAGACAGAACCTATTATCGCTAAGTTGGAAGGAAAGTTCAAGCCGTGGTCATGGAGATGAACGCTGGTTTTTCAGGTTCCTGGTGTGTTTTTTTCCCCCAATCCATCATGTTTTAACAGGTAGGATCTGGCTGATTCCACGAAAAGTTAGTGTCTTGAAAATAACTGCTGAAAAAACCCAAAGCACCAATCGCCGAAGCGCCCAACTTGCCCCTGCCGACCTCGCTGGAGGGGCTTCGCGCCGCGCCGGGTGCCGCTGAGGCTCCAGCCCCGCTCGCGGGTGGGAGACGGGCGGGGGGGCTGCGTGGGGCGGCCCCCGCCGCGCTGCGGGGCCGAGCGGGAGCGGCTGCGGGCGGCGGCCGGGGCTCGCCCGGGCAGGAACCGGCGCTGCCGGGGTGCGTGACCCGGGCGGCTGGGGGGGGGGTGGGGGGGATGCGAGCACAGAGGGGAGAAGGCGCTGGCTTTGTTTATTTGCCTATGGAGCGTTTCATAGACAAGCCAAAATCCGCCACTTGGGATCGGGGTGGGTAAATATCCCGGGCTAGGAAACCTTCCCACCCCGCTCCTGCCCCTTCCACTCGTGGACAGAAACAATCTCGTGTATTTCTTTTAAGTTGTATGGAGAGCTGCAACCTGGAGAGAAAGGCTAAAAATAAAATGATGCCGGTTACAGGAGAGGGTTTGATCCTAGAGCTGGAATGAAGGAACAGCCCAGCCCCTTCGCATTACTGATTCCTCGATCACCCTTATCTCAGAGACTGGTATTAGAACAGCTTCTCGGTAATAAACGATCAACCCCCTTGCCGTGTGGTGCCCTGCTCTGTTTCTTAAGAAGAAAGAAAGAAAAAACCCTAGAAAGCCCCTATCCCGGTGCAGCAAAGAGCATATTTGTAGCTGCCAGTAAACCCAGGCAGCTTTTATATCGAAATGCTCTGCGCCTGAGGCCAAGTCATGCTGCTAAATATTGCTGACCACTTTTTCTTTTATGGCTTTCATGTCACTTAGCTATTGAAAGTAAGATGGATTTGTACCATTTCTTCACCCTGCTCTGCTCTCCCCACACCCCAGGTCTGCCCGGAGAGGCCATTGGAAGAAGAGCACCACGTGACAGAGGGGTGCCAATGTTATTCTCCAAGGGTGTCAAGACCCTGTCAGTTTGCGAAATAAATATTGGGAAACAACGAAATGCAAAAAGCGACCTACTACGACAGCTCTGCAATCTATGGTGCCTACCCCTACCAAGGAGCAAATGGTTTCACTTATAATGCAAGTCAGCAGCAATATCCTCCATCTTCATCACTTGTGGAAACTGAGTACCACCGCCCCGCGTGCTCCCTCCAGTCCCCCGGCAGCTCCGTGTCCCACCACAAGGCCAATGACATCAGTGAGAGTTGCATGAGGACCCTCCCCAGCCAGCCTCTCCAGCCCCCCGGCCTCGCCGACCCACAGGCCCCACCGCAGCCGCCTCCGGCCCAGCAGGCACAACCTCCACCTCCGTCTTCCACCTCACCATCTCAAAATGCCAGCAGCAACCCTGCCCCGGCCAACCCCAACAAGAGCCCGGCTCTTAACTCGCCCACCATGTCCAAACAGATATTCCCGTGGATGAAAGAGTCTCGGCAAAACACAAAGCAGAAAAACAGCAGTTCCAGTTCAGGTATGAAATACGCTCCCCCCTCTCCCTGGGCACCCCTGGGCTGGCCACGCATCTGGTGGGGAGGGGGGGGCAGCCCTGCCCACCTTCACTTCGGGCAGGGGAGGGAGGGGGGGCTTTTTTCCTCACTTAGTTGACCCCCTTGAGCTTTTGTAAGGGGGTTGCCACCACTCACAGGGGGAGCTCAGCGAACAAACCACCCCATCCAAAACTTTCCCAGGCTTGCAGAATGGCTCCAAAGTGATTTTTTTTTTTTTTTTTCCTTGTGGCTAAACCACTTGTGCCCTCCTGCATCTATCACATTTCCTAGGTAATCCCCCTCCAGTAAATCATGTCAGTGCGGAGCAGCCCAGGCCTTAAGCCAGAGGCCTGTCCCAAGTACTTTGTTGGCACGGTGCTGTTAGATTAATAAGACAGTGACCTATCTCTGCTGAAGTGTAACAGGAATAAAATAGCTCATAATCATGTGCAGGCAGGATCAATGCCCTGCGTGCAGTCAGAACCTCTTCCTATTTTAACAAGCTGATTGGCAAAGTTACAAGCCTGGTAAACAAAAGTCATTCTGGAGTGCCATAAACTTCAGCCCATAAAATATTATTTGAGGGATGGAACTATATATTAATGCTTTTATTACCCGAGGAAACCCAAATCGATAACACCAGTGCTAGTTCCAGTGCTCAGTAGTTGTGCTTATATTAACCTCTTCCTCTTTTTCTCTTAAATGTGCCTTGGAAATTGAGTCCAAAACTTTAGCGAATGGCTTTGCCAGACTGCTGTTTAATGCGCTGGTAACATCGCTGTTTACAGCCTTCCATATAATGTATTTATTTTATTAAAAAGCAGTAACTTTCAGATATGCCTATATGCCTGCACGCAAGCCCAGCCACCGTGTGTTCTTCTTATGTGTATTATAATTCCCAATCAGTACCATATGTTTATGCTATATGTTTGACAAGACAGAAACACTATACTGTCAATTCTATGCTTCTATATTATAATGTTATATGTAGATACCTAACCTTCAGGCATCTCTAGCTGATGTGTATATATCAGGGTTCGCAGGAAAAGAGGGCTGTGGATCTTTGCAGTGATGGGGAACTGCTAGTTCTTGAAGACCCTGGTCCCACTGTGTTAGCAGAGCCATAGGTTCGCCTTCAGAGTTTCTGAACCCCGCTGTGTTTCCTTGAACTTTTCTTACTCCTTTATGCAAAGCGCAAGATATGTTGTATGCTGTCATTCTTAAAGGAAGCAGGTATAGTCGTATAGGGACACTAATGAGGCGCAGGAGTCTATTGAGGCTTCTAGGTTGTCCTGACTGCATGGGGGAGTACTTGTTGCACACATGGGTGTCCACCTCATGTCCGAGAGCTGGACTCTCCACGTGTTGGTTTTGTGGGCCGTTGTCTCTGGTTGCCGTGTCCGGGTTCGCCACGCTGATTGTGTTCTTTGTGTGATTTACATAGGTGAGAGTTGTGCTGGTGATAAAAGCCCTCCGGGGCAAGCCTCCTCTAAGCGAGCCCGTACAGCTTACACAAGTGCCCAGCTGGTAGAACTGGAAAAGGAGTTCCACTTCAATAGGTACCTTTGCAGGCCACGAAGGGTAGAGATGGCTAATTTGCTCAATCTCACAGAAAGACAGATCAAAATCTGGTTTCAGAACCGCAGAATGAAATACAAAAAGGATCAAAAGGGCAAGGGCATGATGACCTCTTCAGGAGGACAATCCCCAAGCAGAAGCCCTGTCCCTCCAGCTGCTGGGGGATACCTAAACTCTATGCATTCTTTAGTAAACAGTGTCCCCTATGAGCCCCAGTCGCCTCCGCCATTTAACAAGCCTCATCAAAACACCTACGGCATCCCTGCGTCGTATACCGCTCCTCTTAATAATTGCCCACCTCCTCAAAAGAGATACACGGGGACGGCAGCTGTGACACCTGAATACGATACCCATCCTCTTCAAGGCAACGGTTATGGGAATCCACATATACAGGGAAGCCCCGTCTATGTAGGGGGCAACTACGTGGAGACCATGACCAATTCTGGGCCTTCCATCTTTGGTCTAACTCATCTCCCTCATCCTCCCTCTGCCAACATGGACTACAGCGGGGCTGGGCCAATGGCCAACAATCACCACCATGGACCTTGCGATCCGCACCCAACATACACAGACCTTACCGCTCACCATCCTTCTCAGGGAAGAATTCAGGAAGCGCCCAAACTCACCCATCTGTAAGAGACAGGAGTCACTAAGTGGAACACCAAGTCCCCAACTTTTGGAAAGTACTCATCCCTTCCCTTCTCTCTCTCCTCCCCCCTGCCATATGCCCTCCCCTCCCCTTCTTGTTTCTTTTGTTCGTTTTGGTTTGTTTTGTTTCCTTTGGTAAAAGCGTTTTCTAGTTTATGTGACGTAGCAATATTTGTTGCTTGAATTGCTCTATAGTTTCACTAGTGGATATTTATCTTCTTGAACTGTAGCCTTGTGTCTCACTTTGGGAGTATGCAGAGGCTTTATACTTTACCTTCTACACTTTTATCAAAACAGGGTATATGAACAAATTTTCTATAAAAGGAATTCTTAAATGTGAATTTGTTCGTACATGATTGATCCCACGGGGAAGCAATTTTTTTTATTGCACTTCTTTTAAATAGCGAGAAAGACATCAAAAGCTCTTGGACAGGGACTCCCTGGACAATTATTAATACGTGTAAGTCTTTCAATGTGTGTATGCTGGTGAACATTCAGATTTATTTATATTTTTTTTTGCAAACATTGAATAATCTAAGTGTTTAAAATTTTATTTATCCCCATTTGTTCATATTTATATATATATAAAAAAATCTGTACCCTGAATATTCAGGAAGTGTTTACCTGGCCATATGTTAGATGGCATATCAGCACGCGTAGGAAATATCATTTGAAAGGAAACTATAACTCCTTTTATTAAAAATGGTGATAACGATGATGACGATGCAATAAAATCTGGGAAAAAAGATCACGGTTTGAATACTTTATGCTTGTAACATCCAGCTAGGTGGAAAGCGTGTGAAGCTGAAAAGGCTAGATTTGTTTTGAAAGTTATACATTCCTTGCTGCTCACGTTCTGAAAAAAAAAAAAAATAAAGTTTTTATTCTGAATAATAAAGAGTTAAGAACATGTTCTTCGCAGCGCAAGGGAAGGGAGAGCCCTTCATGACGTGGGGAGTTGAGAAACTCGTCTGTAAACTCACACGAGGATCCGCTCGCCCACCCGAGGGCCTTGCGACGCCTTTTCAGCATTTCATAGGCAGGGAGAGGGATCTTTTTCTTTTTTTTCTTTCTTTTTTTTCTTTTTTTTTTTTTTTTTAATTTTTTTCTTTTTCTTTTTCTTTTTTTTTTTTTTCTTTTTCTTTTTCTTTTTTTTTCTTCTTTTTTTTCTTTTTTTTTTTTTTTTTTTTTTTTCCCTTCCCAGCGGGGTTTCGGGGCCCGCAGCGGCGGCCGCCTCCACTCGAGCCCGCTGCCGCGGTACCCGCCCGGCGCGGAGGGCCGGCGGGCGCGGATCGCCCCCTCCTACGGGTCCGGTGGGGGCACCGGCCGCGGAGCAGCGCGGGGAGCGTGCCCTGCCTCCCACGCAGGCCAGCCGGCTGTGTGTGTGTGTGTGGTGCATGTGCATACGAGTGTGTTTCTGCAGCACGTGGGAGCAGATAAAGCCCCGCGTGGGTGCGGGCGCGGAGGGGCTCCCCCGCGGGGGCCGGAGGGGAGTCGGGCGGCGGCGGAGCCCCGCTGGCACTCGGGGGCGAGGGGGGCAGAGCAGGCCCCCGGCCAAACCCCATCCGCGGCTGGGGGGTGGATGCCGAGCGCTGCTGCCTCCGGACACGGCTCCTTCCCGCCACCCCCGCCATCGTTTTTTCTCTTTTCCTTCAAGAAGTGGATTTTATATATTTTAAAAAATTATTATTATTGGTTTTTTTTTTTATTATTATTTTATTTTGGGGTTGTTTCATTTTTGCTGAGCCGCCTTCCCTCCCCACCGCAGCCTGAAGCTGTGGGGGAGGGGAGGCTTGTGTTCTCTCTCTTCTCGCGGGGGTGTGGATGTGTGTGCGTGTGTGTGTGTGTGTGTGTGTGTGTGTTGGGGGCGGCGCGGGGGGGGGCACGCACACTATTGCAGAAGGGCGACTGCCCCGGCCCCAAACGGGCACCCGCGGGGGTCTCCGGTCCGAATCGGCTGGATGTGGAAGGCGGAAACCCGCAAGCGTGGGCTTAAATCCGATTTTTCTTCCTTTCAGGCGAAATGTCCGTAATTTTTAGATTGAAACTTGAAAGATAAATCAAAATGGACCTTAATAGACTAGGTAAAATATACCCTTGCACGTTTATAAAGACATATTCATATGCTGTGTAGATAATAACGCACGCTGTTCACCATCTGTATCTTTTAGAGCACAGAAAAAAATGTCGCCATTTTGGTCTCATGCTGAAATATTATTAATCTTTGGGCTTTATCTTGTTCCCAGAACCATCCTTGCCTGATGCTGAAACATTGTCATGCATCCATGAATCTATATAGAGCTGTTCTGCATAAATAGATAAAGCATGCTCAGCCAAAGAAAGGGATTGCAAATATATTTATACCGTGCTATTTATTGTATATATAGGTATGTAACCATGGAAGAAAAGGTTATGTAGTCTGATATTTTTAATTGAAACCAGATTATAACCCAGTACAGGCCAACGACTGATTATTATTTCGTAGGCGAAGGAAGCATTTTTGCCACATTGCAAGACATTTCTCATTTCAAATGAGCGCCCGTATAAAATTCAAGCCGGCCTCCCACCCCTCGGATCAGCTAGGTTAGCTACAACAAAAGGTAACGGTACAGTCGGTAATTCTTATTGTGTGGCTCCTTTAGCACCACGAATCGTATTTAGAAAAATGTTCAAATAGAAGGAATTCGGCGTTTCACCCCCCTCCCACTCCGAAGAAAGGAAAATACAGGCGATTTAGCCCCTTTTCCAGAAACCATACTCAACGCCTTCTTCGGAGCCTGTAGGTTGCAAATAAGAATTTGTATTTTTGCATTTAAGATTCGCTCGATTAGAAGATCCCTCTGGAGGCAGAAGTAATTGATTTGCCCAAGAATTTCGCGTCCTCTCTCCAAAGGTTTCGTTCCAGGTGGTTTTTGTATTAGACCGACCACAAGAAACAAATGTGCAGAATAGAGACACCCACACAGGTTTTACTCACAAAGCCTGGTTAAAGTCCAAACCTCTCTCTTTATTATTTGTCATCCTGCTGTTAATCCCAATATTTTCCAGAGGGGCGAAAAAGAAAAATTAAAGAAAAGAAAAAAGAAATGCCCAACCCCAAGGTAGGCACTGAGAAGCAAAATAAAAACGGACTTTTCCCACAAGCAGCCCAGTCCTCTGCCAGCATATTTTAAAAGCAGCTTTTTTCCTTGTTTACTTGTGTTTCTTGCTCTGCCTCTTTTCTCGGCCACATTTGATCTTGGAAAGAGCAAGAAGCTTTAAATGTGTTCTTAAGGGCCAGTAGCTGTCAAACCTTTTGGCGGCCAAGATTGATCGCGCGCAGACACCACCAGAGCTTTGTTTGGACTAAAAGCAAGAAAATTAAACCCCTTGCATTTTCCAACAGCATCGATATTTGTAAGGCATCCCTTTTGAGGGATTAAATGACAAGTCTCGTTCTATATTTTATTTAAACAAGCAACCACCAAAAAGCCCATTTAAAGCCTCCCGGCCCCTCCCCTCCCCCTCTCTCCAATGCCTTCGCAGATATGCTACATCTTGTGGGTGCATTAACTTAAAACCGATTTTTTTAAATGCACTTCGTGCAGTCTGGATGCAGACTGATCCGCTGAGTGCTTGTGGTCTTGTTTTCTTTTTTTTTTTTTTTTGTTTCCCCCTCTTTTTTTTTTTTTTTTTTTTTTTTTTTTTTTTTAATTACGAAGACGCTTGCCGACCCCTTTTTGGCAACTCCGAAAATAAAACGAGACGGCACCGCATCGCTCTGGCGATGGTCCCTGGCTCCTCGAGGACGCGGAGAGCGGCTCGGAAGCGCCTTCCCCCCCCGGCCCCCGGCGCACCCCACCCCGCCGGGCACCCCGGGCTCCGAGGGAAGGCAAACCCCGTCCCGGCTGCCCGGGGCGGCTCTGACCATAGGATTCATCAATCTGGTGATTGTGGCCGTCATTGTCATCGCTCTCCCTCTCGCCTCGGTCTGGGTGGAAAACTGTGCCCAAAGCATCCAAATTCGGGACTTGCCTCGACCTAGCAGGGGCGACTGGAGACGGCGGCGGCGAGAGCCCAGCGTCGGAGGCGAGTGCCGTCTCTCAAGTCATAACCCCGCGGCATTTGCGCTCTGCCTGGCCCCGTGAAAACAAACCCGCTACCAGCCCATATAGTTCCTGGTAATCGAAAATACTCACCAGACCCAGCCTACTACGGTTATTAAGCAAATTATGCCAGCAGACGGGAGTATCGTTTGCGAGCTAAGGCACAGGATTTGGGTTTTTTTTAAAGAGGCAACGGCCAGACGCGTTTGCAGCCTCGCGATTTGGCTCGCCCAGAGAGGTACTCCTAGGGTTATGTTTTACGGTCCAATCCCGGGAAGCCAACTGGAGAGGGAAGTCATGAAGCACAAGGGCTGTTGCCTGTGTGACTCTTCCCCTAGAAGCAAGGTTGCTGAGGAAGATCCTGTTAAACAATGGCTCGGCACCGGCGGCCAATTGTTCTCCGTACTGTACACCCGATAGCCACCAAAAAAAAAAAAAAAAAAAAAAAAAAAAGAGAGAAAAAAGAGGAAAAAAAGATAAAAAAAAGGAAACAAGGAAAAAAAAAAAAAAAAGGAAATAAAAGGGAGCCCATCGAGGCTGAATCGGGAAGGAGAAACTAGTTTTGGAGGAAGTGCTATTCCTAGGAAAAAATCAAGACCCTCTGCTTCAGACTTCTGCTCGGGTACAACTTCTTATGCGGGGCCCTGGCGGTGTCAAAACTTTGAAGATTAATGGATTACTTTGTTAATGACTCAAGGCGTCAGATTGAGGTGCTTAAATGATTTGTGAGGTGCAAAGCGTTTTCCTGACAGTCCCAAACAATGAGAGAAGAGTGTGCGGGTGGAGGCGACGGAGGCAGCAGGCTGCAGGACAAGCAGCCACACACACACACACACACACACACTCACTCTCACACACACTCTCTCTCTCACACACACACTCGCAGCCTCGCACACAAACATATCCACGCACACGCACCCTCCCCCTCACCCCCGATCATTTCAGATTAGGACGCCAAGGGGATAGATACTCGAGATATCATTTCCCTCTTTAAAAAAAGTGTAAATAAAGCCTTTCTGGCCCCCAATGAGGCGTTCCTTCCCGACTTTTTTGGATCAATCAAACAGACAGTGGCTTCTTTTGATTAAAGCCCAAATTGTCATTGGGCAGAGGCAATCATGTGACAGCCAATTCGGTCCAATTTCAACCTTGTCTCCATGAATTCAATAGTTTAATAGTAGCACGGTCCCCATACGGCTGTAATCAGTGAATTAGAAAAAAAACACCCCACCAGCGATCTTCTATGCTATATTTTTTTCTCCTCTCTCTCCTTTTTCCTGGGCCTTCCCCCCCCCGAGCCCCCTGAATCCGAGGGAACTTTTTCTCCGCGGGGGCTGCCAGTTGAAGGCCATGAATTTCGCATTTGAGCGAGAGATCGGTTTTATCAATAGCCAGCCATCGCTTGCTGAGTGCCTGACATCTTTTCCCCCTGTCGGTGATACATTTCAAAGTTCATCAATCAAGAACTCGACGCTTTCACACTCGACACTGATTCCTCCTCCTTTCGAGCAGACCATCCCCAGCCTGAACCCCGGCAGCCACCCTCGCCACAGCGGCGGCGGTCGCCCCAAGGCGAGCCCCCGCGGCCGCAGCGGCAGCCCGGGCCCCGCCGGCGCCCCGCCGCCCCCGGAGTACCCCTGGATGAAAGAGAAAAAGGCGTCCAAGCGATCCGCTCTGCCGCCCGCCTCGGCCTCCGCCTCAGCCGCTGGACCTGCCTGCCTCAGCCACAAAGGTCAGTCCAAAGACTCGCCGCCGGCCCCGCCGGGCCGCTTTTTTGGCTCCCCGCAGCCCCCCGGCTTCGCGGGGGGACGAGGCGGAGGGGCGGGCGGGCGGGGAGGACGGAGCTGGCGGGGCTCTCTGGAAACCCAAACTTTCCCCAAACTTGCTTAATGCGGGATGATTTATTTGAGTTGGAGCTGACCTCTCTTGTCTCGCCGTCCTAGAGTTAGGATATTTGACAGTAATGAAGAGTGATAGATTGCTCCCGCTCAGCTAAGCAGCTGATGCATTAATTATAAATTGCGGTATGGCTAATATAAAGTTTGCTCTGGTGTGGGGAGGTTGGGGAGCTGGAGGCAGTAATTTTGCGGAGGTGGCCGAGGGGCACGCAGCACCGGGCGCTCAGCAGTGCAACACAATGGATTTACTGCATCCAAAGGCGGCCATTTTGTTGCAGTTGCTATTTTATGCTATATGGACATATAGATCTAGACACATACGTGCAGAGAGAGCACTTCCCCCCCAGCCCCCCCCCCCCCCCCCCCCCCGGGATGCGATGTGCTCGGGTGCTGAAATTCAATCCGTGCATTTATCTGTTTTGTGTGTGCCTGCGTGTGTTTTTGCTTTCGCTGTTCTGGCGGTGGTGCTTTGGGGTGCGTGTGCCTGTGGTGGTGGTGGCTTTCTTTTTCTTTTTTTTTTTTTTTTTCTTTTTTTTTTTTTTTCTTTTTTAACAGACCCCCTTGAAATCCCCGATAGCGGTAGCGGTGGATCTAGGCGGCTGAGGACGGCTTACACCAACACCCAGCTTTTGGAGCTAGAGAAAGAATTTCATTTCAACAAGTATCTCTGTAGACCAAGGAGGGTTGAGATTGCAGCCTTGCTGGATCTGACTGAGAGACAAGTCAAAGTCTGGTTCCAGAACAGGAGGATGAAGCACAAGAGACAGACCCAGTGCAAGGAGAACCAAAACGGCGAGGGGAAATTTAAGAACCTCGAGGACCCCGAGAAAGCGACGGAGGAGGAGGAGGAGGAGAAATCCCTCTTTGAGCAAGCCCTCAGCAACGTCTCCGGCGCTCTCTTGGAGCGGGAAGGCTACGCTTTCCAACAGAATGCCCTCTCCCAGCAGCAGGCGCAGAATGCGCACAATGGCGAGTCCCAAACTTTCCCCGTTTCGCCTTTAACGAGCAATGAGAAAAATCTGAAACATTTTCAACATCAGTCACCCACTGTTCAAAACTGCCTCTCAACAATGGCCCAGAACTGTGCAGCTGGCCTGAACAATGACAGTCCTGAGGCCCTAGATGTCCCTTCTTTACAAGACTTTAACGTTTTCTCCACAGATTCCTGCCTACAGCTTTCAGATGCAGTTTCCCCCAGTTTGCCAGGATCTCTGGACAGTCCCGTAGATATTTCTGCTGACAGTTTTGACTTTTTTACAGACACACTCACTACAATTGACTTGCAGCATCTGAATTACTAAGAAATTAAAAACGTCCTCTCCAAGGGTCCTGCTTTCTCCTCCTTATTCTTCTTTATTTTTCCCGTGAATTAATTTTATTTTTTTTCCTCCCTCTTCCTGGTCAGTATTTTCTGTTTATTACCTCCCTCTGATGTGCCATTTTGCCGTTTCTTACGAAGTTTTAGTTGTGTTCAATTTTAACCTAGCCACATTCTAGGTCCTTCTATGAAAGCAATATATGAGGTCTGTAAGAAAGTGATCATATAGGAAATGTATCTTCACTTTCTTTTTATTTTTGTATTGCATTAGGATGCGTTGTCATAAGTATTTTTGGTAGAATAAATTCTTGTTTGCTACAAGAAGCTTTCTCTTTTTTCGTACTCTTTCTCCCTCTCTCTTTCTCTCTCCTTTCTAGACTCATAACGACGGGTATTTCTCCCCCTCCCTTCTACTCTTGATTTACTAATAATCAAAATCCAACATTCTGACTACAAGCTCTCCCCTTTTGGCAATTTAGGACATTTATTAGAGAGGAAGAACACGTTCAAATTCTTTATTGCAAGGGTTCTCACGAGGAAAAAAACAAACAAAACCAAAAAACCCCAAACAAACCAAAGAAACTAAAGCCTTTCACAGCTTTGATGGAGATCTCTTCCTTTTAATGTATAAATGTAGCATCTTATCTCCGTGAGGATACAAAGCTTGGAAATGTTGAGCTGTAACAAAAGCTTGAACGAGCACTTTCTCTGTTACAGGCAAAACATAAGAGAGGCTCAGGAGGATAAGCGTCTCCTGCAGAAACTAGCCTGTTCCGTACACGAAATCTTTTGGGGAAATAATCCTGTTTTTCTAGAAAGTAGTGCTTAGCAGCCAGCAAGCTGTTTCAGGAAGCGTATCTTAAAAAATACCAGAGCTCACAGAGAATTCGCTTGGTTACTTCTTACGTGCTGAGCGGTCCAAGAAATCAGCCCTAGGAGAGAAAATGAAGAAGTTAGTGCCTGTAAAATCGAAAGAGTGGCAGAAAGGCGGGGGGGGGGGGGGGCGGGGGGGGGGGAGAAGCATTTAGGGAGGAATCCGCCCCTCCACTCGGTCCTTTTGAGGGGCTGTGCGGGGGTACAGCCGAAGCTATTTTTTTCTGTTTAATCCTTCTCGCGGGTCGCAGGACTGATAACGAAAAAGGGAACCTCTGCCTTTCAAGTTCGAATTTCCTCGGGGCTCCCCACTCTCTGCTGGCGGCCGCACAGATGGGCTTTCAGAAATCACCGCCTCGTTGCCTGCCACCCGGCTAGCGTCCTTGCCGGACCCCAAAACGGAGGATGAGCCCCGTCCTCCGGGCTGAAGCCGAGCAACAGATGCCAGCGGGGCTCTGCCGCTGCGGGTCCGGGGAATCCCGGGTGGGTGCGACCGCGGCTCCCTGTGTGCTTGTGAGCGCGTGTGAGGAGTGTGTGTGGTTCCGTTACACGGGCGAGTGGGGCTGGAGCGGGGGGTTTGGGGACGGGGCTCTGCTGCCCGTCCATGCGAGGAGTGTTGTCTTCCCAGCCCTGCAACACGTTGTGGTGCTGGGATGCGTGGGTTATAGCTGGAAGGGCTGAACGCAATTCTTCCGAAAGTCATAAATCAAACTCCTTCTATGAATGAGAATGTCATCAAAGAGATCAATTGCAGGAACACATGCACAAATAAAAATCCTCTTACGTATTTGCCGGGGCTGGGGATCCCCGTCTAAAACCATTAAGTGAGAAGGCGTTTAGTCATAATTCATTTTTATTGCTCTTTTAAAACAACAGCTTGGCTGAGCTGCGGACGCGGCGAAACCTCGGCCCTGCTTCTTCTTCTTCTCTCCGCTCCAGCCCTGTCCCCGCGGAAAGCGAGCAGCCTCACCGGCATTTTAACTCATCTGCCACTGGGTTAAACTGGATCGCAACGTGCACGTACGGGTTGGGGTTTCTTTTGTGCCCAGATCTCTGGACGCTGACAACGCCTTTTTTTTTTTTTTTTTTAAGGAAAAAAAAAAAAAGGAAGGAAAATACATTACAAGATCTAAACTTCTATCAAACTCCATTTAAATAAATGGGGGGATTCAGCGAGCAGGAGTCGCCTCCGAGTCTCTCGGTGAGCCCTGGGGCCACAGCGGGGGCACACTCCCACGGAAAAGCCTAAAGAGCCGGGATCGCCCCCTCGGCCCCAGTCCCGGGGCAGGAAACGGGGAGCAGAGCCGCGGAGGGGCGCGGAGGGGCCGGGCTGGCCTGCGGGCAGAGGGAAGGGGCGGCAGCTCCCCCTCGCCAGGCCACGGAGGTGGGGGGGGGGGCGGGAATCTGCTCCGGCCGTTCCCATGATGTTGCCCCCACGCACATTACAGGCAGAAACCCCCCAACGCCCCGCCAGAGAGACAATGCAACAAAAGAAACAATGGCACGAAAAAGGGAGAGAAAAAGGATTTCAGGATGCTGGAGACTGTAAGAGAGGTGCTGTGATTCGGCAGAATTTAAGGGTAAAACGGATCTATTTATAGGAAAACACACATTTTTTTATTGGCTGGCTGAAAAAGCACTGAAAAGATGCCAGCCCTTTTATTAGTAAACAGTCCCAGCGGCCTCCCTTTTTTTTTTTCTCTGCCTTATGCAGTATTTATCACAACTGGTTTACAAGAATGAAATAAATGTGTTTACAGCTGTAGCCATAGCCAAAATTGGTGCAGTATAATGCCATAAATGCCTCTGGAGTGTTGTTGCTCTTGTCCTCCACCCCGCCCCCCTGGAGTTTAAGAAACTGAACCTTTCCAGAGGGCCTGTGCTTGCGCAGTAAATCAGAACAAATAAAAATAGCGAGGGCATACGGATAGTCGCGTGGTTGTGAGAGCAGCCCTTCGGTTTTGGCTGGCAGTAGAGAGGCCATGGAAGTGGCACTGGGGTAAAGGCTGACCTAACAGCAGTGGGAGAGCTTTGCACCTAGCAGAGGATGTTGTAGTTCGTGTGGGAGGGAGGAGCTTGAGGGTTCGTGTGTTCATGAGCAGGGAGAGGTGGCGGGATAGAACGGTCTTTTCGGTTTCAAAACAAGCAACGACCGAGCGTGAGAACCAGAGGGTAGAAGGCACGGGCTGGAAATGCACCTGCAGAAATAGAGGGGGCAGCCCCTCCTGGGGCTGGTGACAGGGGACGTGACTTTCCATCCGTCTACCCCCGGGGTTAACGTTTCGAAGGACGTCCCCCTGAAGCGTGTTGGTGCCGTCCCCTCGCTGCTGCAGACGGCTGGGTGCCCCAGGACAGACGGATGCCCGGCGTTTACCTCCCCTTTCCTTTTCCGCATACGTAAACCGAATGTGAGGTCGCAACCCACATCCCACCGCCCTCCTTCCTTCTTTATCCACGGACACCTTTTTTTTTTTTTTTTTTTTTTTTTTTTTTTTTTTTTTCCGTCGGGGTGGGGCGGGGTAGGTTTGTGTCGATGCTCAGCGCGGTTCCCAAGGGACCTGGGGCCGCCTCTGCCACTGGCCATCTGCCACCTCCCGTCGCTGCCGGCCCGGGTGGCGGAGCGCAGGGACAAAGGGGCCGGGGCGTCGGGCCCTGAGCCTCCCGCCGCTCCTCTGGCCCTGCCCCGGGCCGTCTCCCCGAGCCGCCGGCCTGCGGCACCCCGGGCAGCCTTCCCCCCGCTCGGTCCCAGGGCGGCAGCGGCGCCGCGGGGCCCAGCAGATGGGCTGCGGAGCCCGCGGGTCCCCGCCCAATCACTCATCCCCCTGCCCCCGGCTCCTCCTCCCCTACCCCTGCCCCGGGCTGGCGCGGAGGAGCCCGGCGGAGGTGCGGGGGGGAGCAAGGATGCGGGCCAGGGGGAGGCCGGTGGGCCTGGGAGAGCACAATAGCCGTCAGTCCCAAAAGCGGCTCATTTCCATGCTAATATCCGCGGCCGCCTGGTGATGCGGCTGGACAAGCCCCTTTAACTCTTGGCGTCGCGTCGCGCTGGGACCGCGGCGGGGCAGGACCAGCGAGATCCCTTGGCCCCATCCCCATCCATATCCTCGACCCCATCCCTATTCTCTGCCTTACCCTCATCCCCCGTCCCTATCTCCATCCCCGTCCTTATAGCAATCCCCAACCACATCCACGGTCCCATCCTCGTCCCCGTCCTCAGGGCTGATGAGCTCAGCGCCGCCTCCCCCTCTCCCCCCGCCGCTCCGTACCGCGGATCCAGCCGCCCCCCGCCCCGCCGCCCCGGCCAGGGGACTGGGGACTGGGGGGGGGGGGGGGGGGGGGGCAGAGGTGCCCAGCGCCAGCCTGACAGCGCTGACAGCAAGGGAGGCGCCGGGGGCACCCTCACTGCAGCAGCGCTCACTCACCCTGGAGGGGACGGCCGGTGGGCTCGGCTGGCCGGGCGCAGCTTTCGGCTCTCTCCCGCTCTCCCCTCTCGGCCGGCGGGCGGGACCGCGGCAGCGGCGGCGGCGGCGGCGGGACAACAGCCCAACCCAGCCCGGCCCGGCCCAGCCCAGCCCAGCCCGGCCCGGCCCGGCCCCCCCCCCCCCTCCCCCCGGGGGGGGCCGCCGCCCTGCCCCGCCGCGCCGTGCCGTGCCGTGCCGTGCCGTGCCGCGCCGTCGGAGCGCTCGGCGTTTAAATGCCCCCGACGCGGCGATCTATCAGCGGCAGGAGCCGGGAAAGTCCCGCAGGCGCCGCAGCCATTGGCTGCCGCCCCCCACGTGCCTGCCCGCTGCCTGCACCTTCGTGTCATTTTCCTGCCGGCCCCATGGAGGAAGTGGGAAAGTTGGCGCGGCCCCGCTGGACGCTGAAGACCCGGTGGCGGCGTGACAGCGGGACTCGGCGAGGATGAGCTCCTTCCTCGAGTACCCCGTCCTCGGCGGCGAGGCGGGGGGCTGCGCCGCCCGCGCCTACCACCCCGACCACGGGATTACAACTTTCCAGCCCTGCGCCGTCAGCTCCGGCAGCTGCAGCGGGGAGGACCGCTTCCTGGCGGGCCGCGGGGTGCCCATCAGCCCCCACCGCCACCACCACCACCACCACCACCATCCCCACCCCCCGGCCCAGCCTGCCGCCTACCAGCACCACGGCGGCCTGGGGGTGTCCTACGCGCACCCCGGCTGCGGCCCGACCTACGGCGCGCAGGGCTTCGGACCGGCGTACGGCCCCTACCCCCTGGGGCAGGACGCGGAGCTGGGCGGCGGCTTCCCCCCCTGCGCCCCCGCCGTCTACTCGGGGAGCATCTCCTCCTCCGCCGCCACCGCGCAGCATCCGCACCAAGGGTACGCGGGGGGCCCCGCTCAGTACGTGCCTCCCCCCTACGGGCAGGAGCAGCAGAGCCTGCCCCTGGGCACCTACAACCATGCCCTATCTCCCCTCCACGCCGGTCACCGCGAAAACACCCGCTCCCCCTCCGCCGAGACCTCGCCGCCGGCGCAAACCTTCGACTGGATGAAAGTGAAAAGAAACCCACCCAAAACAGGTCAGTGGCCGGCGGGATGGCCGGGGCGGGGTGTGGGGTGGCTGCTCCTCTCCGTCTCTCTGTCCCTCTCTGCCGTGGGTCCGGGGGGAAGCGGCGCGGTGCCCCGCGGGGCGTGGGGCAGGTGGGGTGGCCCCGCACCTCTGGGAGCAGCCGCGGCCGTCTGCCCGCCGCGCTGCCTTCCAGCGCCGCTAAGTCCTGACTCCCCCTCTCCGCCTCTCCCGCGGTCATATTTCTTGTAATTCATAAACCACTTATCAAGTTTCCTCTGACACCAGAGGCTGACTCCGGTTTAGCACCTCGCACTCCATCACTCACCCTGCCTGGGCTTCCCTCTTATCCTAAGAAGTTCTTGCTCCCTATCGCTTAGCCGGTGTGGACATATTGATTACGTCGCCTATAAATCATTTGCGCTTACTTACCGCTACATGTCCCCTCGCAGGCAAAGCTGGCGAGTACGGCTTCGTGGGGCAGCCCAACACCGTCAGAACTAACTTCACCACCAAGCAGCTCACCGAGCTGGAGAAGGAGTTTCATTTCAACAAGTACCTGACCAGGGCCAGGCGGGTAGAAATCGCCGCCTCCCTCCAGCTCAACGAGACGCAGGTGAAGATCTGGTTCCAGAACCGGCGGATGAAGCAAAAGAAACGGGAGAAAGAGGGCTTGCTGCCCATCTCCCCCGCCACCCCCACGGGCTGCGAGGAGAAGGCGGAGGAGTCCTCGGAGAAGTCCTGCTCGTCTCCTTGCAGCGCCTCGCCCGCCTCCTCCGCCTCGGACTCTCTCGCTGCCGCCAACTGAGGCCCGACGCGCCCCGACGGCCGCCCGGCGCGACGCCCCCGCCGCCGCAGCTCGCTTCCTCTCTCCGCGGTTATGTCGGTCCCTCGGTCGGTCCTTCGGTCGCTCGGTCTCCCCGAGAGGTCCCGGCACGCCGGCGCACCCCCCTCTTGCCCCCCCGCCCCCTCCCGCCGCCCGGCCCCGGGGGCGCCGGCTCCGCCGCCCGCTCGCCTCCCAGCCGCCGGGTCCCGGCGCCTTGGTGCCGGGGGATTTTCTTTCTCCCCGTCCCCCCTTTTTGCTGGAGGAGCCGTGTTGGCACACGGGTAAGGGTCTCCCTCCTCCGCTTCAAGGACGCTCCTCCGAGTTTCCCTGAGTGAAAGACAGGTTACCTAGGGTACATAACCTCACGAAGAGATGCACTATTGCAAGTGTTTACACGACTTATAGGACTTTCATCCCCTTAATTTAATGTATTCTTTGTTGGTGTCTATGAGTTTGTTGCTTGTAAATACTTTGTCCGAGAGATTTATCTTTTTACAGATTTTTCTAGAAATGACATTTCGATTATCAGGTTAAGCAGGGTGAGCGCATTCGCCAAACTGGATCCACTTTTGTATTGGTAAAGCCGACGACCGTATCAAGTAAACGTCTTAAGCTCAAGCAGATACCTCAAAAAAGTAGCGCTATTTCTTTAAACGTGGCAAACAAGGCTTCAATTGCACTAGGTTTTGTAAACCTTACCCGGTGTGCTTGCCCCCCTCCCTTCACTCCCCCCTGCCCCCCAAACTGTGCTGGATTATACTCAACCGAAGGGTATAACCGTCCAAAAGACCTCGCCTCTTCTTATTTTCATATTAACCTTCCTCTAGACTCGATGTCTTTTCAACCTACTCGTGAATGTGACGAATGGCCAAATGAATGTATAATTTCTGTGGTTGGTGTCCGGACCATTGCATGACGCACCGTGCTTTGCTGTACTGCGGGTACACTGAGTTCTATCAGTTGTCGTGTGTGAGCGAAATGTCCTCCTGATTTTCTGTACAATCATGAAAGGCTCTGGGATTCCACCGGTAATGGAAGCCAGGGCAGGATTTACGGGTCCTTATAATGTCTGTAATAAATATATTCCACTTTCAGGTAGCCCTCGTCTGCCTACCTCTGCGTGACGTCAGCACTGAGTCACAGGCTGGGCTCAGCAGCTTGGTTTTCCTTATTTTCTACTGCTGGGGCCTTTCCAAGGGGGAAAGGGAGGAAGAGCCTCCCAACTTTACTCCTCATTTATTGTTTTGCCGGGGTCGGAGCTCTGGCCGCCCAGCCTGACTCATAACACAAACCTTCTTCCTTTCCTATGCTCAAATAATATTCCTTTTAGAAAATGTAAGGCCCGCCTGTCCCTCCGCCGTAACTGGGAGGAATTTATTATCCTGATCTATTTCTGAAGCACAAACATGAGAGCTTCCTGGGTCAAGTGCTAACCTTTTCACCTCGGGATGGATGCTGACACTTATATAAACAGAGCATCCTTCAAAAGCAGAAACTGTCCTCAACCAGTCTTTCCTCACATCACAGGCCCCTTGCCAGGGGCTGCACATTTAATTAGCCCTGGCACTAAACTGGTCTGGCTTCTCTGTCCCCATGCCCAGCCCCAGGCTGCCATCCCCAGCCACTGGTGGGTGCCAAGGCGGGAGACGGTTCCCAGGTGCTTGGCAGTGTGCTTCTAGCATTAACTCCAGCCTATTTCTCACACACACTCCCCCCCCTTTTTTTTTTTTTTTTTTTTTTTTTTCGGGAAAAAGAGCAAGTTCCCGCAGGTACATATCGTAAGATTTCCAAGAGGTGTCAAATGAACAGCGGGGAGGGGAGCAGGGGGAGCGTGTGTGGGGAGAAACCGGGTGGCAGGACAGAGCAGAGACTTGCTCAGCTGGACGGGGGGTGTCTCAAGTCGCTGGTGCCTCTTGAATTTCATCGCAAACACGCGTAACATCTCCTTCCCCCGGCCCAGCTGCGGGAAAGTGCTCCCAGGCTTCTCCCGGGGCCGGGCAGCCCACGCAGGCTTTGCTTTTGCGGGATTCGCAGAGAATCAACGAAATTTTCTTCACTTCGGTGTCACAAGAGGCAAGCCCTGATTTGCAAGGCGCGGCGGCCATATCAAGAGCCGAGCTATCTGCAAGGGAGCAGGGCTGTCTCCAAAGGCTCCCGCCAGTGCCTCTATTTCTTTCATTTCCCCGCCTGCCATATACTTTACCTTTTGTTTATTAGTGTAAAGCCGCAAAGCAAAACAGATGGCCTTCTTCCAGAGACTTGGATGTGTTAAAGTCGCATTTGCATGCCAATGAGGGCATTTCAATATCGAAATCTGGATCTAAACATTGCTGGAATCCGGATCTGCAACCCGGCTCCCCCGGTGTTGACTTAATGCGTTAGAAAGAGCGGCCATAAATTATAGCCTAAATGCGAGAGACAAGACACTTGTCAGTGCGTCAATCTGCGGTGAGCGATTCATCGGCAAAGAATCTCGTATCCTTCCAAGACAAAATCCCGGGTTATTTTATTTTTTGTTTTTTTTTTCCCCCTCTCAGCCCCGATCGATTTCAAGCAAAGACACCCCAAACCTCCCGACCCTGGCTCATTTTGTTCGCGTGATGATTATTTCGATAAGATCGGCTTTTCGGGTCAGGGGGTGTGGGGAAGAGAAATTAAAAACTCTAGTTTAGAGTTTCTACCACAAAAATATCGTTGAAAAAAATCACAGCCTGCTTTGGCCTGATGGAGACACTACTTTGTCTTTCAGGTCGTAGGGATCCTTTTGTTTTTTACACCTTTTAAAATTTATTGTAGATTTTGTCTCCAGAGTCTCGGGAGAAAAAATAAAAAACAAAACAAAACAAAACAAACCACCCAAACCCCCCAACCCAAACCGCGTCCAAACGTCAAACAGAGTTTAGCATCTTCCTGTCATACTTAAGGCCATTTCTGCTGTTCACCTTTAAAGTTTACTTTTGGAGGCTACTGAGATGCTTTGGTGTTTTCCTCTGGGGCAATCAGATTGAAACCGATCAATATTTACTCAGTCTGAAAGGGCTGTTGAAAAGGCAGCTAGCAACAAACTGCTTAGCTGCTCTCCCCTCTTTAATCTCAGGTTCACCGAAAGTTCAAGCAGAAATTAATTCGGTGATGGGTCACTTTAGAATAAGTCCCAGTGGTTAATTTCACAGCCTTGGTAAAGGCAACAATTACAGAGTCATCC